ACAAGCATGTGATAATCACTGTTTCTGAACTGACAACATCTTTTTAAAAACAAGTTAAAATCATCTCATATATTTAATATGGTGTAGAGTTTGATGGTTCAGTCAACCCCCTTTTTCTAGAATCTGACTTACCTGGCTCCACACAGGTTCTCTAAAATTACTAATTTTAGTACCAACAACATATACATTTTTCTAGGTGGGCATTTTGGTCAGACAAGCACCTACCTGATTGTTGATTGGATTTCTAAGGATACAAACTTGCATTTAGTCAAGAGCAGGTCCGGATAAAAGAATGTAATCTCAAACTGCTTATTATCAAATGATACACCTGGACTTTTCAGTTATAGTAATGCTATCCCTAGTTTAAGCACATGGTATAAGTGCCTTCTTTTCTGATGGCTTGGCTTTTTAAAAGGATAAACATCAGACTATATAGAAGAATGGATAGAGTGCTTGTCATTCGTAAAATCCCCCTAAGATATTACTAAATTTTGGATAAACTTGGGTAGTAGGCAGTTTGAGATTGTCATATTGCATTCGGGACCTGCGGTACTCTTGCTCGGGAAAGTCCATGGACAGAGGAGCGTGGCAGGCTACAGTCCATGGGTCTCAGAGTCAGCCGTGACTGTAACTAAACAGCAACAGCAGCATCTATCCATGAGGGTGCTCCGAGAGTGTCACCCGAAACAGGCTCTGAGTGTGCGTTTGCAAGGGAGGGGAGTGGGTGATGGGGGGAAAGATGGTTCCAAAAGAAAGATCTTCAAGACACCGATTTTTTTCACTTGCTATTTAAAAGAACACTGCTCGACATCCTATTTTCCATTTATAATAACATGCAGGCAAAATTTCGCATGAAGTGCAGCCTTGGCTAATAAGAAAAATTAAAATATTTAGTTCACAAAGTCTTATGACCGTGTTCTGCACTTCACTTTTTCCATCAGAAAGCCTCAAGCCTACCATCTACTTTAATTTACGTTTACATCTTAAAATAACCATAGACTAGAATGTATTATGTCTCAAATTTTACTTTTATATTTATGACAGACCCTATCAAATCTTTGGGTAAAAGAAAGTAAAATCTTTTCTTTCTAAACTCATTTATTATACTTCAGCTCAGTTGCTCAGTTGTGTCCAACTCTTTATGACCCCATGAACTAGAGCACTCCAGGCTTTCCTGTCCATCACCATCTCCTGGAGATTGCTCAAATTCATGTCCATTGAGTCGGTGATGTTATAGTTTTATTATAATATAGTTTATCACTATAATATAAATTATAAGACAGTTTATTATAGTTAGTCATTTCAATCACAGATATAAACAAAGATAATATAGTCCCTAAAACCAAAATATAATGCATATAGAATTCACTATTCATGTATTTATCTCTAAACAATGCAAAGTTAACAATTTAACTTTCCAGACACTTAAGCTAAATTTATAAAGCACACTTGAAAGTAAAGACTTTGGATATAGAATATTAAATGGCATATAATTACCCAGCATGTTTGAACAGATTAAAATATTACCCTGTCTTTCTACTGTCAAATAAATATGGAATTCCTTGTATGGGGCTTATCCTCAAAGCAAATGCTTCATGCTCAGTGTGAAAATTCAATCACAATTGTCAAAGATCAAGCTGCTACTTCTGATAACAAACATGATGAGATATCATCTTGTTCAGTATATGCCTTCAACTTGACATGTGGGCTAATAAAAAATATGAAGTTGTGGTATTTATTTTGTTTCTTGTACAACAGAAGGCTCCTAACAGGGATGATCAAAATATCCAGTATCGTTGACTGAAAATATAGTCAGCCCTATTATCTAGAGACAGATTAGCAGGTATATAGCTTGACTATAGTAAAATACTAGCAGCAGGCACTGTATTTGCAAAGTGTTTTAAATCATTATGCATCAGCAACTGTGTATCAATATGAGAGGATATCTATTTTCAACTACATAATAACACTGTCTTTACACAACATTGAATGTACTGCATTGTGCACTGCTATCCATTCAAAAGCTATTTATTCAGCATTTACTATGGACCAAATACTATAAGAGGCAATTCCACTTCATCAATCAGACCTAACCTCTTGTCTCCACCTCTCTTTGAAGGAAGGCAGGAGGGAAGATATGTGGTCAGCTTCTTGTAAGCTGGTCCTGGTTCTGAGATACACACACAATCTGAAGCCAGAACGGTTGCTCAGCAGTATGAAGCAAACCCCAGTAGGCTTCCACGTGTGGACTTAATTTCTCCGCTGTCTCACCCCTGGCCCTGTTTCTCTTCCTTGGCTCCCCTTCTCAGGGGAAGTCTGAACTGGCAGCCTTGCTTGCCTCCGTGCCCTTCAGCCTCCAAACTCATAACCATCACGCCTCCCAATTCCGAGATGGTCCTTAAGCGCAGACACTTCTCTCCCTCCCCTCTACCCCTCTGCAACTACCTTATTCAGACCTCCATCATCTCAGAGCACAGTGACCATTTCAGAGTGGACCCTCAAAGATATGTAAAATATATAAAGGAGGCAGCTTCAACCAGATGCCTTTTAAGACACTGAGGTAATAGAGACTGTTGTTTGTGGTTTAGTCACTGAGTCATGCCTGACTCTTTTGCAGCTCCATGGACCGTAGCCCACCAGGCTCCTCTCTCCATGGGATTTTCCAGCCAGGAATACAGGAGTGGGTTGCCTTCTAGAAACTAGGGATAGGAAACACCAAAATCAGCCTGAACTCATCTCTCTTTTGAGCAATAGCTTCAAACATGTCAGCAGCAAGGGATTATCTTTGACTCCTACATTTTTCCTTTTCCATCCCCAGCTGTCCGCTCAGCTCCATTTCCCCTGGTGCCCTACTAAGTTACGTGACACAGGTCAGCCAAACACTGAGTCTCTCCCCACTGTAACCCCCCAACCCAATGCTGTCCAATAGAACAGTGATGGAAACGTGCTATATTTATGCTGTCTGCATGTATGGACACTGACTCACTTGAAACATGCTAAGTGAGACTGAGGAATTAAATTTTTAAATTTATTTAAATAGTAATTGATTGAAATTTGAAAAGTCATATATGGCTAATGGCGACAGTACTGGAAGGTGCACTCTGCCTTTCTTCCATACTGCTGCTAGAATTATCTTCCTGGAAGACAGATGATAATGTCACTTGACCTACAGAACTAACATACCTTCATAAAGCCTTTACCATACAGCATGACACCTAAGCTCTTCACCATCGAGACCAACTTACTATTTCATTTCCATTTTCTCCACTCCTCCTGCATCCAAAAGGGAAAGTGTGAGTTGCTCAGTCGTGTTTGACTCTTTGCAACCCCATGGACTGTAGTCCACCAGGCTCCTCTGTCTATGGAATTCTCCAGGCAAGTATACTGGCATAGGTTGCCATTTCATTCTTCAGGGGATATTCCTGGTCCAGGGACTGACCCCAAATCTCCCGCACTGCAGGCATATTCTTTACCATATGAGCTACAAGTGAAGCCCCTTCAGCAATAACTGATCACTTGGTATACTCACACATGCCATGATATAACCCTTTATATGAACTGTTGATGCTTTTTTAGAATGCTTTTTCCTCTCAGGGAATATCCACTCATCCTTCCAGATCCAGCTCAAAGTCCTGCTCCTCTCCAAGTGAGTAACTGCCTTTCCTTAATCCAGCCAGCCGTTTTCTCTTAACTATGCTGCCGTAACTTTGGTATACAGGTTCACTGAGATATTTAAGCATGCTTAATGGCTTACCTATGAAAAATATGAATCCCACGTATCCCAGATAAATATTAATCATATACATAAAGTGAGATGATGAGGACAACCGTTTTACACAAGAGTAAGTAAGCACTGTATAAATGTGCAGTCTTTAACACATGTATTATGAATCCCATCTTAATACTTGCTAAGGATCTTCACTGAACATAGCAAGCTAAGAAAACAAGGAAAGAAGAGTGAAAAGATGGCTATGGGAGAGGAGAAAAGTTTGCAAGGCACTGCTACCAAAAGGAGGCATAAGCCAGGGGAACATGCAAGAAAAGCCAGGAAAGCACCAAAAGACTAACAACTCAGTAACCCACGCTAACGCTGAGCCTGTTTCTCGCCTCTCCTATTAAACTGGCAATAACAATAATCAAATTCCTTAATCAGGGAGTGTAGATATGGCCAGGTCAAGAACAAGAGAAAGTTTTTCTTGTGCTGTAACTGAGAAGAATTTGTTGTAAGCAGATCAATAAAGCACTATTACTATGGCCCGCTTCTTAAGACAGAGCTCTGCTATATAAAACACTGAATGGATTTTCTGTAAGGAAATTTAACCTACAGAAGAACCTGAAGGAAAAAAAAAAACCTCTAAACTTACTAAATTTTCACCTCCTCCAACATTATATTTAAATAGAAATATTTCAAAATCATTAATGACATCTGAGTTATGTTTATTCCTAATATGACTTTCCTTTTATATAAAGCAGTCTCAATTTTCTTCCCCTTTAGTCAGCTTTCAAAAAAGAAAAATGCAAAGAAACATTTAAATAGTCAAAGGTAAAACTTTCAGTGGCAATCACAACAATTCTCAATATATATACTATCATATGCAGGTATTTATACTGAATGAATATTAGGCTTAAATATTCCATTTCATCAGTTTGAGAAACCACAGATTTACAACACAATTTTGCTATTAAACAAAAATCCTTCATGTGAATTTGCAGATCAGAGATAATTAATATTTGGATTTAGTTCAGAAGTTGAGTAAATTAGCTCAGTTCACTCTGGGTTTGGGTTGATGGTTCAGTTTAAGTTACTGACAATGAGAATATCAAACTAAAGAATAAATAATGTAGTCAGGGCTGATATTTAAGAATAAGTGTTCAGAGGGAGGTGATATATGTATAATTATGGCTGATTTGCACTGTTGTATGGCAGAAACCAACATCACATTGTAAAGCAATTTTCCTCCAATTAAAAAATAAATTGGAAAAAAAAATAACCAACTCACTTTACAGAGAGAGCTAAGGTTAAATCCGAAGGTTTGTGCATTCCGGGAGCCGGCATTCATGTAGTTTCCCATTAGCAACACCAGCTCCAGCAACTTGCTGAAGCCCCGGCTCCTCCTGATGTCTTCGCAGGCGGCGGTGACAGCCATGATGTCAGGCTTGATGCTGTTCACCTGCTCTTCAAACTGAAGCTTAAAGAGAACAGCACTGAGCCGAGGCCGGAGTCTCTTCACACTGCTCATCTGATTGAAAAGAAAATAGCACATTTCCTTTAAAATGCACGGTATACTTTAGTACTGTGTGACTGCAAGTAATCTGGGATGATTTATTGGTATGACAGTACAGAAGAAGCAATATGTCCCCTAAAACTGATAGCAGGAAGAGAGAAAAACCCTGCATGTTTTTGTGAAGAATCCAGAATCATCCCTCAAAGAAAAAATTAACAATTTAAATGCTCGTTGAAAAGAAAGCTTCAGTTAAGTGACAAAGTTTAACTGAGTAATAAAGTACATATACTTTTTAAAAACACAATTTTTAAAAGGTAACAGGATATAGATGCAACAAATTACAGAGCACTCATACATAGCACTGCTTTAACTTTTATTCAATACTGAAATATGCTTGGTCATATTTAACAGATTCAGACAGGTCTAAAGAGGGTTTGTTTTCTTTGAAGATCAACTGCTCTCCACAAGAACCCTGCTGACTAACAGTATGTGTTACATCAAAGGAGAGTAAATAGGTCCCAATTTGTGCTAAAGTGACTTCCTTCAGAAACACAGGGCTGCAGAGGGAACCCTGCCCGGGCTCGGGGCAGGTAGAGCTGGGACGCTCGTAGAGCAGGGGGCCGGCGGCAGCCACCAGCCACACACGCTAGAGGCCCAGTCGGGACCCCGGCTCCTGTCCTGAGTGTGAGAGGGGCTGAGAGCGCCACAAAGAACAAGCGGCTCAGAGGGTCAGCAAGCTCTGGCCTCCAATCTACCCCCAAACCAACCCGAGCAACACACGAGGGGAGGAGCCAGAGGGCTTGGGATGTACATTGTTTAAGTTACACTTGAATTCTTTGACCAAACATATTAGAAATTTGAGACAAAGTGGACTGATGGGACAACAGTAGCAAAACCAGTGAACTTCAATAACAATCATAAACATCAGCATTTTGAGGCAAGGTCAGGGAAAAAACAGTGACAGAATATGACAGGATTAAAATAGGAAAGAGTTGTGTTTGTCACAGACCCTGAAGGAAAAGCTTAAAAAAAAAAAAAAAAAAAACAATGTCATGTGAAGCTTATAGTATTTCATTAAGGAGACAGAAAGCTATCTGCTTATAATATAATGACTGTTATTTAAAATAAAATATACCATAAAAAAGCCTGAACTTATTAGACTATAACAGGACACTACAGATACCACCTTAATAACAAAGATGACCCAGTTGACTCATCTAACAAAACCAGAGCAATAAAGAGCTCTCAGGAGATACCTCTGAGAGAATCGTCAGATGAACAGAACTCTTAGTTACTAAATACTTTCTCAGCAAATAATTTAAATATCTAATGTACATATAGTATTCTCCCACCCACTTGACCTGTTAAATGCTTACGCATATACAATCAAGACTCTAAAACCTAAACTAATACAGTTATTAAGAAGTCCCTCTACAAAGTACTCTAAGGAATGTCTTAAAATTCCTTGAATTCCAGCAATGTCTTCAAGTTCCCATCTAGAGAAAATATTTTCTCCTAGAAGAAAGTATAGAAACTGTAAGCTCAAAAGGGACAATTTTTTAAAGTACAGGAAACATTACTAATTATTTTATAGGGTGGTTCTAGTAATAAAAATAAATTTTAGAAAAACAAAGTGAGGCCTTCTTAGGATACCCATTCTTCAGTTCAGTTCAGTTCAGCCGCGTTCGACTCTTTGCGACCCCATGAATCGCAGCACGCCAGGCGTCCCTGTCCATCACAAACTCCCGGAGTTCACTCAAACTCATGTCCATCGAGTCGGTGATGCCATCCAACCATTTCATCCTCTGTCATCCCCTTCTCCTCCTGCCCCCAATCCCTCCCAACATCAGGGTCTTTTCCAATGAGTCAACTCTTCACATGAGGTGGCCAAAGTATTGGAGCTTCAGCTTCAGCATCAGTCCTTCCAATGAACACCCAGGACAAATCTCTCTTAGGATGGACTGGTTGGATCTCCTTGCAGTGCAAGGGACTCTCAAGAGGCTTCTCCAACACCACAGTTCAAAAGCATCAATTCTTCTGCACTCAGCTTTCTTTACAGCCCAAGTTTCACATCCATACATGACCACTGGAAAAACCATAGCCTTGACTATACGGACCCTTGTTGGCAAAGTAATGTCTCTGCTTTGTAATATGCTGTCTAGGTTGGTCGTAACTTTCCTTCCAAGGAGTAAGCGTCTTTTAATTTCATGGCCGCAGTCTCCATCCGCAGTGATCTCAGTGGGCACAAATCATTGTTTGGACGTTGTATGTCCAAAAACAGACAGAAAGTAGACATAAGCTGTGATTACTTCTAAGTCATTTCATTTGTTAAACAATGTTTCCAAATGGACTTATTTACCTGCAATTTGTGTCCTTAGTTAAATATTAGAAATTTACTATTTGTACGTAACTATATTGTACTGGACCAATTCTGTATGATACTCTTTTAATTTAGCCTTCAGAACAACAAGATATACAAAGGAGTAGTCACATGCACACATACAGTTATAGCCATTCAGAAGGTGTATTATGGACCCACAGCCATCTTTGCTTTCAATCTATGCCCTCATTAACGATTATGAAGTCATGTATTTGGTACTTTGCTATAAACAAGAACCATGAAATTAAAAGACACCTGCTCCATGGAGGAAAAGCTAAGACCAACCTAGACAACATATTAAAAAGCAGAGACATCACTTTGTCAACAAAGGTCCATCTAGTCAAAGCTATGGTTTCTCCAGTATTCACATACGGATGTAAGAGTTGAACTATAAAGAAAGCTGAGGTCGAAGAATTGATGCTTTTGAACTGTGGTGTTGGAGAAGACTCTTGATGCTGAAGCTCCAATACTTTGGCCACCTGATGTGAAGAACTGACTCACTGGGAAAGACCCTGAGGTGGAAAAGATTGAGGGCGGGAGGAGAAGGGGATGACAGAGGATGAGATGGTTGGATGGAATCACCGAGTTGCAGTTTATGAGGTTGCAAAGAGTCAGACATGACTTAGAGACTGAACAAAAACAACAATAAACAAGGAAAGAATTCTCTAATAGCTGATGCAAAATATTACTCCAAAATATATTAATTTTAACATATATTAATATACTACCTCATGTGCAAAGAGAAAATAGACTACCTAAAAGCCTATATTAAACTACCCAAGTACGTTAAAGCTTTCCTACTGACAAGCTCACCATGTGTAGCCAGTACAAAGTAATTAATTTTCCTGAAAAAAATATAACCTGAATTTATATGAGTAATGAGTCTACCTGGCACTAGGGACAGGTTCCTTGAAAAAATAGAGTAAGTCTGATGTAATGCAGTAAAAAGTGCTATGAGTTTATGGAAAGTCCCGACAAAGCAAAGTCAGGAAGGATAATGTAAACAGATCTTTTAACACTTCTTGTAATTAGATATCCTTTTCATATTGTTTTTTGCCTCCCAATTTTGGAAAGTTAGTATTTTGACTGATACTAAACAAATGCATTTTAGTGAACAAAATTACCATATTGGAAAGGAACTTGAGAAATCACCAGAACTCGAGCCTGTTTATAGTCTACCATTCAGCCTACACTGATGCCCCAGACCAAATGGCTTTCCCTTTTATTTAATAGAAGAAAAAGACCTCAATGAAACCTAATGTTCTAAGACCTAAATCTTGTGATCTATAAAGATAACAGCAGTTATTTTTCTTATTGGTCAAATCAAAGTCTATTTCTTCAGATGGGATCAAAGAAAAAAGGTTAAAAAAATATATATATATATTTTTTTTAATCCTGAAGGTTTCTTTAGCCCTTCACACGCTCTTTCAAACTGGACATCTACACTCTGGTTTCCTTGCTCAAAACTTTAGAACTCTGACTTGTCTGCCAAAGACTAGACTGGATGGAGAAATGGAGAGCTATGATGCTCAAAAAATATTCTCAAAGCTAACAGAAAGTCATTAAAAAAGAAAAAAAAGGAAAGACTACTACAAAACTTAACTATAAGATAGCAAATAATTAGAAGGTTAGAACAAATTAGAATTCATTTTTTCCAGAGGTATCCTTTACATTTATTACTAGAGGGTCTTAGCAATGTAAACTCACAACACCAAAATCTGATAACACTGAGTTATATACTCTGGAGATCAAACTAACGGCATAAAAAAGAAAATAAAAATACTGTGATTTTACTACCTTTTTTTTTTTTAATTTACTACTATTTTTTGAAGGCAGCAAGTAGCATTCTGGCAACCACCCCATCACATGACCACAGATGTCACATGCCAGAATAAAAACATCTAAGAATAGAGACTGGATAAAATTGAAACCAATATCCAGAACACAAAGGGTAATTTTTATTTCAAGATTTTGTTCATTGGCAACATTTGTATGGTTGGAGCAGGTACAAAGTAAGACGAAAAGACCTTTAGAAAATCAATGAACCAACAAGCATTGACTGGGTGCCCACTCAGTGCTGTGAGCTGCACAGAAGTCGTGGTTGCTGCCCTTGTATCATCGAATTCTTGCCATCTGTCTTAAAGGGCAAAAAGGAGGAAAAGTCTTCCGGGAGATATAATCTCCCATAATCTCATTATGGTTATGTTTTTCATGTATAATTTTAATTTTATCTATTATTTCACGGAGGAGAAAAACAGAATCTATTTGACATTTTTATACCAACTACATTTAACACCATATCTGGTCCTCTTTATTCAGTTTCTTTTACAAACATGGTATTTCAGGAGCAAACTTTTTCAAAACTTGTTGGGTTTTCCCCCACTTCTTGCCTGCAGCCTTGTGCAGGCGCACCTCACAAGACATTTGAGAACACACTCCATATCCTTATTATTCTTCCCTAAAGTTGTAAGACCAATTAATCATTCATTTAACTTTCTAACATAAGTAACCTGATGACTGAAAAGCTACAAGTTTGAGTCTTAATTTACTTATCAATACTGCTTTAAACCTTTACTTTAGACACTTTCTAAATACATAATTATAAGGAATAATGGGACAGTGTTTCTGGAAAGTT